AAATTGTTAAAAAGAAGCTTCACTGACATAATTGGTTTGTTACAAGGAGCGAAATCTATCCTTTTTTACTTTAAATGGCGTGTGGGGGATGATTTTCGTTTAAAAAATTTCTAAATTCCAAAATTTCAATTTATTTTTTTTCATTGAATTTTTTAATATTATTACTGCTCGATAAACCTTAAAAGGCAGTCGGAACATTCAGGGCTTTGCCCTGATACGAGCAGTCTTGTTTAAATTTTATATTAGATATTTGTTGGCTGTCTTATTTTTTACTCCAATGCAATTTTGACTTAGTTCTCAACTAGCCTGTGTTTACTTGCAAGATTTTTCATCTCATTTAATTTTTATAAATTCTTTAAGCTGAAAACTTTTTTTTTCTAACTGGCTGTTTGGGTTTTAAATACCGCGTGCATTTAAGTCGTAAACAATTGTTAGGCAGGCTTTCAACTGAATTTGAGAGAGGCTTATTTTTCTATCTAACACGTTATTTTACGCTCAATACACCAATAATTAATATAAACAGTGTGTGGAGGGATGATCTTTAAAGAAATAATCAGTTTTTTCACTTAACACTAATCTAAAAAGAAATCTTTGAAAAACAAGATCATTCAAAGCGTCACCTTGATACGCGTAACTCCCTTTTTTGTCATAGGAAGCTAAAATCATGAAAAACTCGAATCTATAGTCAACTCTAAAGTGTTCTGATTATCAAGTAGGTTCCCTGTGAACATTTTTCGTGAAATGATGAGGAGTTTGTTTAAATTCAATTTGGTGAATCATAAATATTCGATTCCGTTCTAAAAACTGCAGCAGCAAAAAATTAGGCTCAGAAATAGAAAAACCTTTTCGTTTGTTTTCTGTAAACAGTTTTTGAAGTGATTTTTTTCAAAATGATAAAGAAGCGCACAAGGAAAGTTTGCCTGGTTTTGCCTCGATTTAAGCAGTTTTTCCTAGAAATATTTTCACAATGTAGTAAAAATGTCCAGCTCATAATTACAAAGTAAATCAAACCAATGGCTCAAAAGAGTAAATACTTTCTTCCAGCCTTTATTAATTAATTACTTTTTTCTTTTCGGAACGTTTTTTTTATTATCAGTTTAGCCTACTTCTCTCAATGACTCAATATATCTGGGATTGATAAGCTTTTTGGTTGCATGGAGATTAAACTGGGCACACTATGTTTAATTGTAATACACTCTATCCTATTAGACTGACAAATGATAGCCATTATTAGTAGCTTGCCATTAACGTTTTACTAAGGAGTTCGGGCAAACCCATTCGTGCAAAACCGAAAAAAAACACTAAAAAAGAGCAAAAATAGAGCTTTTAGATTAGACCAATGATTTAAACACGCCTATGTCAGTTGAATAAACTGACTACTTACCAACAATCATTTATGACATTCGAATTTTTGCTTACATCAAACTTCTGTTACATCAACTTTATCAAGCCTCAGTGCATACGTGCAGATCAGCGCCTTGTGTGCTGCTGGAGATGTGGAGATGAAGGCACGCAACGATCGCGCTGGTGTCAGTCTGTGATTAGCAGACCTTCCGGGACAGTTACGGATGCTTGCAATGTCGGATTATACGAGGACCAGTATTCTGGACATGGACTAAAACATGGACTAGTCTTATCAGAAACGAGGTGGCTCAGAGTCGTGTACTCGCGCCTGAAAAAGTATGCAAGGCCATACAAAGGTCACCTAAAGACGACAGTTGGACAAACAATGGTGGATGGATATATCACCGCAAGCCTTTATGTAGGAACTACCGACGTTGTTAAAGACTACGCAGGTGGCTCCAGTATGCTCTGACAAGAAAAGGACGTCCCTGCTGGGTAGCGTAGCTGCGCCATCGAGGTTGAGACTGAAAAAGGAGAAGCTATCGGCTCGCAACGAAAATTATCTTCAACATTGCCTCAAGTGGAACCAGATCTAAACTAGTCTTTATCATTGGTTATTATTATGATACTTTATCTCTATAAAATATTAAATACTAACCAATCATACTTTATCAAACTAACAACCCACTTATTTGTAAGTGCTGAAAATACTTGTAGTTTCAACACCGGAGCAATTTGAATTAAACTTAGAATACAGTTGTTCTCATTCTAGAACTAACTCGCATAAACCGGTGTACACTAGATCTATTGAGACTAGGAGATTTAAGAGTAAGATTAAGATCGTTATAAGACTAAGAAGTTGCACGAATCTATCCGTCCAAAAATAAGATGACGAGCAGACGGTGTACCCTATCTGAAAATTGCTCTATGAGTTATAACCAAAAGGATATAACGCACAAGCTAGATGAAGCTATCATCCAAGCGCTTTACGTGGCTTAGTTACCGGACCAAGCGGGTTGCAAGCCGTCGCTTGAGACAAATCCAATCCAGAAAGAGCAAGCTATTCAGTACAGACCCGAAGTGTTTTGCAGCTGGTCACTAGTTTTTTTTTGAGTTCTTTGAAAACGAAAAGAGAAAAAATCGGAGCTGAGCATAAGCTGACTAAAACACGAAAGAAGTTCTGGAGAAGACCAACGATGAGGACAGTTGTAGAACGAAAAGAGTAATGGTGCCAAAGTCACGGTGGACGGAGTACTAGAGAAAAAAACGCAGCCTCCATTTGAAACGCAGGTAAAAACACAGCCTACATTTGACCCAGGAGCCCAAATCAATTCGGAAGCAATGGATATCTTGGGCCAGTGAGTACTCGCGCTAGAGCCATACACATTCTGGTGATGTCGGTCTTCCTTGCGAAGTTTGCCTGAGCGGTTTCTCTGGCGTTGGTGGATTTGACCGAGATAACCCAAGGGATAGTAAAAAAACTGGATGCTCAGATTTTTGACCCCCTACATTCTTCACACAAATCAAACAAAAAAAAATAGCAGTAAACTAGTACTGGAGATGTAACGCCGCTTAATCATTGATAAATCAAGTGCCTCCCCTTAGCATCTGTAGGACAGTGGCCAGGATGAGCGTAACAGCTGGGTGATAGTCAGTGTAATATCTAAGATCTTGAGCAAAAGGTGAGCCACAAGTTCATCCGCCCAGAGTGATCATAGCGATATGACGCGATCGAGAGTTAAGATGCGACAGAGATTGACGCGACAAGAGGGAAAAAGAGCCTTAAGCGATGCTGAAAGTAGACCCCAAGGACTATGCCAAATTACTTAAAAATGAAAAAAAGTTAAAGAGATTTTTAATGTTCAAGTTGAGGAATTAAAATAACGGATCAGTGTTAGAGCTTATATTTTGTGTTAAATCAAGTTAACAGCAACGTGTTCAGCATATAGTTTTAGTTAGGCTAGCCCTGTGATTCGACCATTGAGAAAGCAAAATAAGCATTATTCGGGATAATAATAAACTAGGGTAGAACTTGCGAATCTAATGTTTCAGCCGTAAGTTCGCTTCAACGAGAGTAAGTAGGCATTTTTTGTCAACCCGGGGGTTATCAGTTCAATTTAATAAGAACAATGTTTCAGTATTTTTACAGCTGCCTTCAAAAAAGATAGGATCAAAAATGGGCTGTAACAAACAGCAGGAGCTACAAGAATAGCGAAGAGGGAATTTGTAGCAACCTCTCAGTAAAAATGGGGTGCTCCAAAGATGGGGTTCTACACAGGGGTGCTCCAGAGCCTAATCCCAAAACCACATAGGGGCTCCAAACAATATTTCAAACCACAGGGTTGTGTTAACGATCGTCATATAGTTTTCTTATCACGGTGGAAAAAACAGCAGATAAGGTACCAAAAGAATATGAGCAGAGTTTTCAAGAACAATTTTACTTGAACGAACTTTTACAAATAACGTGGTGTATTTATCTAAAAAACAACTTTATAAAAAGAACTAGCCATAAAAACTTCTGATTACAGTGACTTTCTTATTTTTCTACCACCAGCCAGTTTCAATTCACTTCCTAAATCTAGATACTGTTTTGAATGCTTTTAGGCCTTGCATTATATTTTAGGCCTTGCACGAAAATATCAATTAAATCAAAGATTGAAAGAACCTATGCAATTACTTGATCCGTGGTTTGTTTCTCTTCGCGGTAAAGAGGCTGCTGGTTTCAGGGTGACGCTTTTAATTCACAAACACTGCTTAAGCGTCTATGTGAAAATTTGTGACATTTTGTGACTAGCTACTTATTGGAACTTACCTTAGAGAACTTTTTTTTTAACTCATGAATTTAAAAAAAGTTCTCTAAGGTAAGTTTCAATAAGTAGCTAGTCACAAAATGTTAACACATTGGTCTTAGTTTTTGCTTAGTTTTTTCAGTGTACTTTCTGTGTGTTTTGTGTTTAGTTTAAACGAGTGTATTTCTGGTTTAAGCGCCTTTCGCAGGCAAACAGTCTCGAAAACAAATCGTAAATGCAGTTACATTTGAAGATTTTTTGAACTTTCTGTAGAGCTGTAAGCTCTGTGAGCTAAGGCCCCATAACACAATGGGGTTTTGCATACGCTGTTTACACTCATACACGCATACTCTCTACTACAGTTATATTTATCGATTAAGTTTTTGCAATGAAGTAAATGCCGCCATCAAAAATTTTTAGCCATAGATAGAAAAGGTACGACAGACTTTTTTCAGTTTTCTCATAGTTTTTGCTTTCTTTTGCAAAAAAAAATATTGGTTTTCAAAAATGAAACACCAAGAAGTAATTCAACCAATTCTTTCAAAGAGTATACTGGAAAACACAACTTCATATGAGTTTTTTATACTGTAAATTGATCAGGGTACATCGTTTTCTTTTGTTGTCCTAAGAAGTTGGGCAAAATCGAGCGGAGCAAAACTAGATAATGTACTAGTTAAAAAACGTTAGACAATTAATTTTTAGATCATAGATAGAGCCAATGAACAGGCCTCTGCGATTTAAATTGTTTGACCCCTACACCTACAGTACTTACAAAACTTAGCGCAAGTATCCCTTTTCTTTTTTTAAAAATTTTCTCGTGATTCAAAGTAAACACAGCAAAATTTGAGAAAAGCCAAATTGAATTACCTCGAGCACCTCGAAATGACAGTCGCATACGACGGTCCATTGCAATAGATTCTCCTTGAACTTTGAGAACCAAAATTCCGTCGCTAGCGTCGTCAAGCGCAAATACTTCTTGAGTTTGCGAAGAAAACTTAGATTGCTGTATGCTAAACTTGAAAGTGGTTGCACTGCCTTTACGAATATCTCTCAGCTGCCAAGTTTCAACACCGATCGCTGTTGCTTTTCCGGTCAAGGCTCTTGTGAACTGAGAACTTCCCGTAATTTTGCTTTGACTGAAAGTGTCAATCGCTTTGTTCAGACTGTTTTCAACTGCAGTGCACGAGTTGGACATTTCTGAAATGCCTGATTTGATATGATCCACCACTTTTTTCTGTTCATTCAGTTCCTCTAAAGACTTCTTCTCGAATGTATGGAAATTTTGAACATTCTGTGCGTTTTGCATTTTGTTTTTCAGTTCCGTTAACTTTTCGATTATTTCCATAGTAGAGACAATTTCCTCGTTTAGATCAACAGAGTTTGTCACCAATCGCTTGTAATTATTTTGATACTGTTCAACTTGCTTCCACGATTCGTTTGATGCTGTAGTTGAGTCTTTGAGTAACGAGTTGATCGGAACAACGAAGTGCTCTAGATGGCTTTGGTTCCAACAATCTTCGCAAATAGAGATCGAGCAGTTGTTGCAGTAGACTTTCTTCGCTTTTTTGTGAACACTGCAAACATCCTGTCCAGCTTGGTTGTCTGCACATGATGTGCTCTGTTGTGATGCCTGAAAAAAGTAGCCACTTTTAAGAAGGTAGTTTTATAACTGCGTACTAAGCCACGACGACTATAAGGTCAAAAGCCGAATATATAATCACTCAACAACGAGCTTTAAATTTCATCTATTTTACAAAAAGTGTGCAAATACAATTTCGCTCAAAAAATTAGCTTTAAAAATAAATTAAGACTGCTCGTATCAGGGCGGAGCCCTGAAAGTTCCGACTGCCTTTCAAGGTCAATGGAGCATTAATAAGATGAAAAATTTCAATGTAATAAAAAAATTTAAAAAATTTTTGAAAAAATTCGAGATTTTATGTAAAAACATCCCCCCACACGTCATATCAAGTACAAAGTGATAGATTTTGCGCCTATTAACAAATCAATTATAGTATCTAAGCTTCTTTGAACCAATTTGGAACAATTTCTAAGGCGGATTAAATCTCGCTTACGCGTTAATAGCGCGAAATTTATCGCGCGTTAATTGTCCCAAATTGGCCAAAATGACAATCTTTAAACCCTCGTAACTTTATGAAAAATGATCACAGGTAAAATATCTTTTCAAATTTAAGCTCAGGACAACAATACCTTTTGAATAATAAAAAAAATTCCGTCAAAATTGGCTAATTAAAAAGTCGAAATTTGTCTGAAGTAAAAAAAACCAACCGAGCACAAATATTCCGTTACTTTCGTATCAAAAGTCGGAACAATAAAAAACTTGGGAAGATTTTGAGAAGAAACTGCAAGAGTAATACAATCATGATACCATAAAACTGCAAAATTTGGCCCTTTTCCAGTTTCCCCCCTTTCAAATTCAATTTTGAAAAGTCTATTTAACGTTGTGAAATAGACTTTTTAACAATGCAATGAACGTTAACAATGCAATGAAATTTGGCGTGGTGGACAAACCGACAATTCTGAACAGATTTGTTCTTCATACTTTACAGCGTAAGATCACGCATTTAGCCGTAATAACACGTAATACAAATATATAACTCGTTTTTTGAAAGGGGGGAAACTGGAAAAGAGCCCAAAATTTGTCTGAATAAAATAGTTTCTTTAATTAGTTTCTACCAAACCTTTTTTTGATATTTTCAACCAAGATAATCTACTGTTCTTTCCGATCATCTTGAGCACTTTGTACTCACTTCAATTCTAAAACCTCTAGCAGATTTTAATGTTCAGTTGGGACCCGATAAAAATTTTGCCTTTACTTCTAAGTAAAAAAATTAGGACGAGCTCAATTGTAATGTTTTTGATATTTCAACTATTAGAAAAAAGACACTCAAAATGTATCCTTCTTTTCTTCTTCTAACGTAAGCTACACTTCTGCAATTGTCAAAAGTTTCAATTTTTGATGTCACAGTTGTCATGAAAACTGGTCAGTGGAGTCACTACTAATTAAGTTAAAGTTAAGTTAAACTGCTTTCTTTCTAACAGCTTCTTATGATAATATAAATTGAAATCAAAAACTTTCCTAAAATAAATTGAAGTTATTATGTTTCCTTTTTCACGTAAAACATAAAATGACCAATGATCATTTTATATCGAGAAAGCCGTCCTTGTACGCTTGGAAGCTTCAGTTTTTACTTATTATTAAATACCTTTAGAGAGTTACCTCAATTGCGGCTTTCGAATCGTGATTGACCGACAAGTCGTTTTCGCTTATGAAGATGTCAGCAATCGGTTCTCGACATATTGAACAGCATCTAGGGTCACTGGTTAGAACTTTACGCAGACAATTTTTTGGGCCTGAGCAATACGAGTGACCACAAAGTAAAGCTTTTGGGCTCTCATGAGTCTCCAAACAAATACAGCAAGGGTTGCTCATACTGTCTCCTGGCTATATATTTCTAGTTGGAAATTGAAGCTTTCAAATTACAAAATTTGATGCTCAAGACCCGAACTTTTTCGTAACGTAAAATGAGAGATTGAAAGAAGAACTGTAGAAATATAAAACAGTAGTTAAATCAGGGCAGTTTTTGAATAAATTCAGCTTGTTTTGTTTTACCTCACAAACAAAACGCTAGCATAAATGAAAACATCAAAATTATACATGTTTCTATTGAGCTCAATCATTTGTCTAGAGAAAACATTTTAGAGGCACGTGCGTCTTGAAACCAAAACATTTTAATCTGCAAAATGCTTTGTAATTTGTTACGTTATTGAACTGTTAATACACTTTCTTGACTCTCAATTTTTTCTATGTTTTTGAGCATAGAAAAACTAAAGGCATGCGAGACATGAAACCAATTTTTCTATACCAAAATAACAAAACAAATTCAGTTATGAAAAAACTCAAAGTACTGATTGTAAAGATAAGTTGTTTTAGAAACGGAGTTTTAGAAAATAGTTTTGTAATTACTGAGTTTTTTTCTACCACGAAAACCATGATTTCCTATAATACTATGAGTTTTAGTTTATTACTGGAAAAGAAATTCGTTATCATAGGTTCGCATACTACAAAATTTTGTACTTCTCTGAAGTCCCGTTTAGTTAAGTGATGTGGGATATTAAAAATGGTCTGTACAAAGATTTGAAAAACGTACATCTGGAGTTTCGCTTATATCGAGAAAAATATTTCGAGTTTCAAAACAAAATATACACTCAACGAAACACCCAAATTTTTATGTTTTTTTTCTCAGGTTTTTAGATACTACAGAGGTTCTCCACCGTCAATGCAGCAGATGCAAGTAAAATTTCCCTAGTAAAATCCCTCTGGACATTTTGGCGAAGAACTTCCGTGCGTTTCGAACTTCCGATCTTCCCAACTATTTACGTCATTTTTCATATTAGATTTATCTAATCAAACAGTATCAGGTCAACTGCAAGATACACAGCAATTTTGTTTATCAGAAAAGGCACTCTATAGTAATTTTTCCGACTTTTGAAGAAAACGGAATATTAATGGTTGTGTAATTTTTTTTATTTACTCATCAATTTTTGCTGATCGAACTCATAGTTTTCTATAACAATTTCTCATACCCCATTGAAGATGTTAACTTCCTTAGTTCAAAGTTAAAAAGATGTTTTACCTCTGATTATCTTTGTGAGGACCTGGGACTAGAAAATTGCCAAATTGGCCATATTCGGGACAAAGTTATGCGCGCTTTGAAGAGAAGAGAGCGTAACGTTCATCGTGCTGAGAGCTTAACGCGAGTTAATTTTGCGTGGCTAATTATCCCGCACAACAAATTCGTTTCGATCTGAATTGGGTTTAACTAATCGGTCGTATTAATTTCGTACGAATCAAAATTTTACACTTTGATTTTGTCCAAATTTTTCAAGTTTTCATTATTTTTTCGCAAAAACTATTTCATATAAATAAAGCGACAGTTGGATCAATTATGGCTTGTTGTTTCGACTTTTGGTGCGAAAGTAACGGAATATTTGTGCTCGGGGTGTGTTTTTTTTTCTTCAGACAAATTTCGACTTTTTAACTAGCCATTTTTGACGGAATTTTAAAATATCATTCGAAAAGTATTGATGTTCTGAGCTCAAGTTTGAAAAAATATTTCACCTGTGATCATTTTTCGTAAAGTTATTGGGGTTCAAAGATTGTCATTTTGGCCACTTTGGGACAATTAACGCGCGATATATTTCGCGCTATTAACGCGTAAGCGGAGAGTTAATCCGTCTTAGAAATCGTTCTAAATTGTTAAAAAGAAGCTTCTTTGACATAATTGGTTTGTTACAAGGAGCGAAATCTATCCTTTTGTTCTTTAAATGGCGTGTGGGGTGATGATTTTTGTATAAAATTTCAAATTTTAGAAGAAAAAATTTCATTTTGTTTTATTTCATTTAATTTTTCAATGTTATTACTGCTCAATAAACCTTAAAAGGCAGTCGAGACACTCAAGGCTTCGCCCTGATACGAGCAGTCTTGTTTGGCATTTAAGGCCAATTTAAAGCCTTCGAACTATTTCAATTATGTGGCAAAAGTCAATTTAATGGGCAAATTTTGTTTATAAACGAAACTAGTTTGGAACTAAGTGCTATTGTTGTGTTGTTTTGCAATTCAGCGTTTACGAATTTGGTTGTTTAAAGTCACAAGGTCCAATATTCGAATAAAAAAAAACAATTAAATTGGATAAAAAGTAAGTTTTAGAGAATCAAGAGACGGGTTTGAAACGATGGAGTGATCCCTACGGTCAAGGTCAACAGAGTTCAACGACCTCTTCCTACCAATCAGCGGGGGACAAGTACAACAGGGGAAACACAGGCGACAATTACAACTCAGCTGAAAATTTCAGTCAGTGCAGTTCCTTTTATGACTCGTCGAATTCGATTAAGCAGCAGAGAAGAAGTCAGAATGGAAATAGTGCGACGATTGCTTGGGGTGATAGATATGTGGAAGTCAAAACTAACATGGCTCAGAAAGTGATGATAATATGGGTTTTGAATTGGAGACTTTTACGGCGATTCGAGATAACAATTTTGCGCTACTTGTATAGGCATGTCGCGCTAATAATTTGTTTGGCCAGTTTTCTTTTGAAGATAAGCCAGACCGGTATTTTGAGTAAGCTCAAAAATCTTTCCATCTTCAGCTTAGGAACTTCGATATCTAACTGACCCAAGGAATGTTTAGAAACTTATCATTTTACACCATACAATGCGCGTGTAAGAAGATGTTGAAAAATTTAGGTTCAATTTTATGTTAAAGATAATTATAATTCTTCATGAAAAGTAACAAAGGATCAAGGCTTCACTTAGACATGCGAGCAGTATCGTTTGCTGTAACATCAAGTACGCAGTTACGCTAATTCGTATTCAAAACCATTCCGATCGAGCCTAGCTAGTCCAACCCGGGTAGAGGTTGTTGTTTTATGATCAGACGGTCGCGACCGAACTTTAGTATTTCCAGACTGCCACGACCAAATTTTGGAATGTTAACCGCGATCGGCGCAATTGAACAAAAATTGGTCGCGGTGGTCGAAAAATTAGTCGAAGTGGTCGAAAAATTAATCGCGGCATGGTCGAAAAATTAGTCGCAGCTGTCAAACAATTAGTCGCGGCGGTCGAAAATTAGTCCCTGCATGTTCGAAAAATGAGTCACAGCGGTCATAAAATTAGTCCCGGCATGATCGAGAAATTGGTCGCGGTGGTCAATAAAATAAGTCACGGCGGTCAAAAAATAGGTCCCTGCATGGTCAAAAAATTGGTCGAGGCGGTCGATAAAATTAGTCGCAACGATCGAAAAATCAGTTGCGGCGGTAGATAAATATACGAAAGTCTAAGTGAGTTATCAGTTGAAATGAGACTCTACAATGAGGGAACTATAAACCTTTAACAGAACATCTCTGAAGGCGGCAGAAAAATAGAATAGACGATATTTGAGTTAAAACAACATAAACATACAAAAAAGCTCGTATCAGAGCGAAGCCCTGAATGTTCCGACTGCCTTTCAGGTTCTAAGAAGCAGAAAATACATGAAAAAAATTACTGTGATAAATTGATAACAAAAAATTTGCAGTTATCTGGAAAATCATCTTTCCACACACCATAAAAAGAAGGTACACCTTCTTAACTCTAAACAACTCAACACCATACAATCTTATTCCCTACTTTCTGTTGCCTTAGCAAACTAAAACCATCACATTATAAAACTAATTCTACAACCTAACACCTTTTTAATACAAAATGAAAAGAGAACTTACTTCAAATGGGTAATTCGGTAAACATTAAAGAATAAAGCAAGAAAAATATGGTCATTTCAAGCCAGACAACTTCGCGCATCTTAATCCGCGCCGTGTAAGTTTTGAATAGAAGTGACCTTGCCAAAAACTCGGATTGTTGAAATGGTTCGAAGCAAAAAATGAGCATTAATTTGACCCACTTTCATATCGGATAAATTTTCCAAAACTTCAGAAATCGCAACGGGGATGGGTGGCATCTTATGAAAGAGTGGCATTTTACAAAAGTAATCACAAGTGAAACATATTTTCAAATTTTAGCTCAGGACAACAATACAAATTGAATGATTTTTTAAAAAAAAACTCCGTCAAAAATGAAATTTGTCCGAAGAAAAAAAAACCGCCCCGAGCACAAATAATTCGTTACTTTCGTTACGAAAATCGGAAAAATAAGTAAAATAACCAATGGTTGCAATTATTTTTCAATCAAGATCGTAGTTTTCATTTCCGAGAACTGCTGGGTTTTCTTTTTAAAAGTTATCAAACGACAATTATTTGCTGCATATGAAATTAACTCGAATTCAAAATTTTTTTCTTGTTCATTTTTAAATTGAGTTTGCTGATGAATTGTAATTGATGTATATACTACAATTCAAAGTAAAGATGGAGATTTCAAAAACTACATTTGATTTTCGTTATTTTTTAATTTGGTTTTTGGTCGCGAATGCGCTAGTCAAAACTTGTAGTTTGATACACTGGTGAAACGTCATTCACAACTTTTTACTTTTGACTGATAAGGAAGTTATGAGTACTCTTTGTGGAAAACTGGCTTTTTTTCTTTTTCCCCCACCTGCAAAGTTTTATAAATAAATTTACTGTTGACATTGCCCGATTGTCATGAAAAATTACATACAAAATAATTAGGCCATGATAAACATATTTAGTTTTTATAATTAGCCTTGTAAACCACTCGTTAGACCATTAAATTGATGCTTGTGTTTCTTCAAATTGAACCTTAGCAAATGCTCAGATTGAACTAAAACCTATGGTGAACCAAAATCTATGACACTTTTGAAGGGGCTGTCATTCCTAACTATGTTTGACGTAGACCCAGAAAAATTTAACACGTTATTGAAGAGGTGTTGAACTTTGATAATTGATTAAAAAATCATTTTAACAGATACTGGAATTTATTTTCGCCATTTTTCGGTCAGTTTATCATGCGTTCGCGGACTAAAGCTGTAGCTGATGAAGTTTGATCCGGTGTGACCATATGACAACAGATTTCAATACTTGTAATAAGTTCAGTAGTGCTTCGGGGGTTTTGGCGATGAATTGAAGCACAAACATATATCCAAAAACAGTAGTCCAGAGGCAATACCGCAAAAAAAGTACTTTGAAACCTGTTTTCAAATTTAGGTTTTTAAATTTTTTAGCTATTC